TAATCAGGTGAGATCACTGACGTCCTGCCCAAGTAGTCATTCCAAAGCTGCCATGTAGAACAAACTTAGTATACGGACCCCAAAATCCCGCTGTAATCCCCCATATGTACCCAGGGTCCCTCCAGACCCTCTACTCCCAATCGGTTGAAACTGCGAAAGGAGGCCCTGGCTCTCGCAGAGCAGCGGCGATTGCGCGCAGTAGCGGAGGGCTAAGAAAATCAGGGCTCGGGATGCGCAAAGAGTGTGGCTCCTTCGCAAAAAAATGAAAATGACATGGAAAGCCGCATGGAACATTGAATAGAAAGTGGGTTTATGTAGGTGCTTGTACTGATTTGGGTTCCACGAGTCAGGGGACCCTTCTTTGGGGGGCTGCCCAATCAGGGGATTGTAGCACACTGGTGTAAGTTTGGAAGTCCTCACCAGGGTTCCCGCTAGATTTCGCAGCCGCTTTTGCAAAGGGTCCGGAACAAACGAAGCTTTGGGGAAATCATCGCGAGTCCCCTCTTTTAATGGAAAGGTCCGAAGCGCCGACTCTTTACAACAATTGACTGGAGGCTCAGAGGTTGGCTACTCAGATATTAAAGAGGAACAAAACAAACCTCATTTTGGGGGGAGGTCCCCCCGACACTGAACAGGGTTCAGCATTTGCAACGTGCAACCAAATCTGGCTCTGCAGCGAAGACGAAAGGTTTCCATTAACGGGCCTCTGGTTCATGATGGCCCAAGTAGCCCATGTTATGCGACGAATTGTGGCGAGAATCCCAAGGTCTTCCAATGCTTGAAGGGCATCTGGGACTCTGGTATTGGCGGCGAGGCTGGACAAGTTAAAGTAGCAGCAGCAGAAAGCGCTGCCTTGAATTCCATGTGCTGGGCTACATACAGCAGGTCTTGAAGATGGCCTTCGATGCAGTCAAGTCCCGGATTGACAGGCATGGTGGGCTTCCTACTTTGCTAGAGCAGTGTGGCATCATGGAAGCGTGCAGGTTCAAAGCCAAAGCAGGGCAATCGAGCGACGTCATTCAAGCAATGGCAGGCGACTGCGCGCAGACGTAGCCATCGTCCTTTGGTGTGACATTTATATCCAACTGTCCTTCAAGCGGGTGGGTGCTCATTCAGGCTCCAGAGGTCGTCTCAAACGTTCTTGCAGCGTGCTGTAGCGCATGCAGTGCTGCTCAAATCCTTGAGCCTGGAAGTGGTTCCCAACATTTCAGCATGTGCGCTGATGTGGCTGGGCATTCCCCGTCCGTTGGAGTGCAGCCCTCGCTGGCGAGTCTGCCCAAAGCTGCCCCTTGATCCTACTGAAGAAGAGGGCAGTGAATGTTTCCATGCCAAGCTTGCACTTGCCAATCAAAGCTGCTAAGCTGCTTCTGAGGAGTTGCACCTGCATTTGGAGGGTGCAATGCGCCTTCCCCTCAGGCTTGCCTCACAGAGGCAAAAATGAGAAACACGTTACGAGCCTCATCTGCTGAGGTCCAGACACACTGACGGAACTCTGTCACAAGCACGGAATCGAGCGGCCTCCAGACACGTGGCTTGCCTGCATCTCACGTGCCTTTGTGCCCTTGTCCCAGATCCGTCCCAGTTTTGTGCCACTGGACACTCAGGCGCGGGAAGTCCTTCCCAGACTTTAGCCCGAGTCCTGACTGCATGGTTGGATCGCCCACTCGCTGCGGTGCGTTTTCTGTCCTTGCCATCAATCATTACACTCTCCTTCCTACCAGCGTGACTGCAAGAAGTTGGGGATGTTTTTTGGGGACTTTGAGGTTACTGATGTGTGAGTAGACCCCAGAGGTTTGCCCGCTGCTACATTGCCGTCTGCGAGTGCCTCCGGGAAGAAGGTGACTTGAGGCGCCTCGTCTTCGAGGTCGCGGAGGATTCGGCCAAGTCAGGTGCTTCGACTTTCAAGCTGTGCGTGTTCTCAAGATGACTGGCCTCTTCCGGATACCCATATGCTAGACAAGGGCACCCCTGATCTGCAAACAATTTCTTGAACCTACCTACATGCTTGGTGAAGTGCCGGTGCAGCCGTTCAACGGGATAAGCTAGCAGAAAGGATTACATCATCTACTGAGCATTCTGCAGAGTCTGAGGTGCCTTTTGGATAGAGCCTGCGCTCTCACTGGAGCTCTATGCCGATCGATTTGGTGGACTGTTGCATACCGTTTAATTGCGCAAAGTTAGCCCTCAAACTCATCGCAAGTGTGGCTTCATGTACGAGGTGTGCATCAGTACAATTTGCCATTGAGGTGGCCCAGAAAAGACCCTATGTATGCTGCTCGCTGCTGCAGAAGATGCAGAAGATGCAACTGGTGTTGCAATCGGATCTTTGTCGGCACATGGGATGGACTCTCCCATTGAAGCCACATACGTGAGCAAGCAATGTGTGATACTGAAATACCTCGTCCTGTCACTCGCTGGTCACTACTACATGTGCCCCTTCACAGAACCCTCAACCATAAAAGATCAGGCTTCATTGTAGCTGCTGAGCGGCATATGCCAGTCGAGAAGGCGGAAGCGCTTGCTCGCGCAGCCACTTCTTTGCATTTGGAATTTGCAAGCAATGCGCTTTGGTCCGAACATGTAACAGCTGAGCCAGATACCAGGTTAAGAATTTGGCAGAGGGCGGAGCTGCCAAGATCAAGGGCCGAGATGGAATTATTGGCTTTGGCTTGCATGGTGCAGAGGCCTAACTGATATCATGAATATTTGCATATAATGGTATTAAACTGGGGGCACTAAAGCCCCATCTAACTCCATGCTACGTTCGGAGGTACCAAAGCCTCAATGAAATACCAGCGCGTGTAACATAATACAGAATAAAGATATATTCAGGATGACCTTGGATGCTTCTAGTAAGTCTCTGGAGCTCCACAGGTTGGTAACCCACCGGAGCCTTGGAAGGAGGCATTCAAGATAGCATGCGTTGCCGGCGTGGTGCCTTTGCCACATGCCGGGGAGTACCCTCCCTCCAGCGCACCTGGAGCTGGACCTGGTAGCGCCTCCTGGCTTTACTAAAATAGTAGCAGGAGGAGGAGGAGCAGTAGTAGTAGTAGTAGTAGTCGTAGTAGTAGTAGTAGTAGTAGAAGTAGTAGTAGTAGTAGTAGTGGTGATAATAATACTAATGCTAATAATTGAGGCGATAATTGCTACAGTGCATTGTTGAGATTCAGTTTTCCCGCATTGGAGGTTCAGTTCTGCGTGGACCATCTTGGGGCCCGTCGGATTGCTCACGGGGTTCTTGCAGCTGAAGATGATGGCCTCGTTGCGCATTTAGCAACTCTCCAGGTGTGTTCGGGACCCAGGCTAGTCTGATTGAAGCAGCAGTGCAGCCGCGAGACTTCTGGACTTGAATCTGCACCGGGCGAGGTCTAGACATCTGTCCGACAAGCAACCAGCTGCTTGGGACAGTTCGAGGTCCTGGTCTGCAATCGCCACTCAAGCAGTTTCTTGAGGCAGGTGTGTGCGGACCTTGGACGTGTTTGTTGGCTTTACGAATTATTCAGCTGAGCGCGTCTATTGGGTATATCATCACAAGGCCCTGCACGATCAACTCCGATGATCCTCTGCTGTTTGGCTGTTCCTTGTTGGGAGAATATGAGCGGTGCCGGCAAGAGTGACTTGGCTACATTCGAGATCCACAGTGAGGCCTTGCAAAGACATTGCTTCATGCTAGACACTATATGGACAAGGCTTAAACTGTCAGATGGGGAGTTGGCTGCCTGTGCCGCACCTTGATCCAATTCAGCCCGTCCAGCAGAAGCTGCAGCTTCAAGGCACGAGGGGACCGTTCAATAAGGCAGCGTCATTTGAGCATTCGCGGGCGCCTCGCTCCCTGATAAAGAAGGGCCTTGACGGTGTTGAGGCAGGGAGCTTCGTGCCTTGTCCACTCGGAAGCTGGGAGCCACGTGCATGCTTGGTGTCTTCTTGAATTTTGCTGCATCGTTGGACGCGGTTGCTAAGAGGTTTGGAATCACTAGTAACGTGGCAGGCGTGGCTGCAGGGCAGTTGCCAGAGGGACCGTGCCAAAGCTGCACCGGGTACCTGGTCAAATCAAAAGGTTCTCTATTTGAGTTGGAATTATTGAATGAGCCCTCCATTAATGTCCGAGAGCAGCAAGACTGCCGTTGTCACTCAGGAGTCGCAAGGAAGCGAAGCCATGGCGATGCATTTGACGAGCCGAGCGTGTGAAAAAGCTGAGTGTTGCCAGCATGCACGCAGGTAGCTAGGCAGCTACTAGAACACACTAAACTGTACTACAATATCTACTATGCTATAGTATAATACTATTAACTATAGTACAGCTATTTGCCTCATGGAATTGGTAGGCCACGAGTGGGCACAGCTCGAGGCCCGGCTTTGCTTGGAAGACCCTCTCGATCCCTCGGTGTGTGTGTGTTACACAGATTATATTATAGTACATGTATATTATTATAGTATGTATGATCATAGCATATATTATATATTAGTTATAGTATGTATTAGGGTATTTGAAATATGTCATAGTATAGGTTAGAGTATATGCTATAGCAAGTGCGCAGGATTTGGTCCAGATGATTCAGGAGAAGATGGAGGCTAGCAACGGGCCACTGCACTGGCAGGGTTTCTCAAAGTACGAGTTGAGTTTTGGCTCTTCAATGAGGATCATCATGCGTTTCAGTTATGTGGAAGGATCTTAAGTTTGAGTTGCAGTCTTCATGCCTGCGTGTCCTCGTCGGAATAATGGAGCAGGAGGACGGGCACCGGGCCCCTTTGGGTCCGGTGGAGGGCCGACGCATCCCGGCAGCAGGCAGTCAGATGACGTTTTTACGAGGACCACTTGAAACACAGCTGTCTGGCTTCAACTGCCCTGGCTACAATGATCAGAGATGTTGATGGTGGAAACCTCTGATCAAGCTAGCCATCTCAATTGTCTGCAAGATTCTGCAAGCAGCATCGTGATTCACCTAGCTCGTGCTGTTTGAGGCACGAAACTGGTCATCGACCAAGCAGCCTGCCAAGACTTCATGACAGGGCACTTAGAGAGGTTGAGGTTATGGCTCCACTCTGAAGGCAGACCATGTGCGAGACGAGACTTGAGAAGCCCTGAAAAGGCATTAGAGAGTTTGGGCGGCCAGGGCACCTTGCGCCAGAGTCTTAGCATGTCTTACCGGCCCCTGTTGCGACTAAAGACATCCCAAGACCAGGTGAGGTCATCGAGTGGATCGAGAAGAACCCTGAGCAGCTGAAACAGATTCGAGAAGCAAAGCTAAACAGGACGGCCTAGCGTTCGGGAGAGCTCTGGGACAGTGCATACATTCCTCCATGTGCCAGTAGAACTACTATTCCCCATGTGGCCGCGGGGCCTCCAACTGTGGCATTGATGAGAAGCTCATGCCTCCAGGAACGTGCGGGATGGACAACGGAAGCCAGATCTTGGGCTGCAAGAAGTAAAAGGAGAGTCAGAGGGTTCATGGGGCTTCTCAAGGCTAAGCTCCCTTCTTGGGGTCCCCAAACGGAGAGATTTCTCTTGGGGAAATTTTGACGCTGGATGAAGAGTGGTGACGTTGACCTTGCACAGCAGGTCTGGCACTCTACCGCCACTTGCTGCATTTAATTTCTCTGGTTGTTAATAGGGCATGAAGGAATGGAAAAGAAATTGGAAAGTGTATATGGTCAGGGCTACTACAAGCCATTCCTCCACGCCTACTAACAGCTAGCAGGTAATCAGTTGTGGAGCTGAGCATGGCTATGCCTTGGAATCAAGGTTGGCTCCAGAATCCACGACTTCCGCAGAGTTCCTCGAGTTGGCCCGCAGACAGCTGAGATCCTTGTAGCTTGGGCAAGCCTGCAGATAGGGGTCTCTCATTTGGCTACAGCATTTTTTCACGGACTCCCGAAGGGCAGAGTTGTGCTTTCAATTCCTATTCTTTTGGCAAGGCCCGTGCGATACTTGAGCTCCAAAGCACCCGAGCCGGAGGCCCGAGATGCGCCCTGCAAAAATCTCCGCTCACGCTATGCAGCTATTTGTGCTGCAGGGAAGCAGAAGGCATAAGGCTGTAGGCTGCACTGGATGTTCGTCACCAGAGGAAAAATAGAAGAGCTACAGAAGCGCTGCAGTTTCGTAACTCCTCTTCTTCTGGCCTCCTCTGCCAGGAGCCGGCAGCCATTCAGGATGCTCCACCGAAACCAAGGCTGAGACGTTTCTCAAACTTGAGGATCATGAATCATGCCTTTCAGGCATCGGATCCTTGATTAGACGACATAGCCCAGTCTGATTTACTCTGCACCCGAATCGACATGATAAGAGGCTATGGACACAAAAGTTTGTGAGCACGTGCATTCTGCAGGGCGAAGCGTGCGTCCAAGAAGAGCAAAGAGGACGGATACCCCTGCAGCCACAACAGTATATCTCCTCCAGCCTTTATATCATGTGAAGTGAACGTCCAAGACTTGTCCATCCAAATCACATACATCGGGCCTATCTCTTACAATCACCCGGCAGGGCGGAGACGATGCCGACCAGGCGCCCCCGAAGCCAAAGCGTCTTCGGAAAGTGAAGGCTCTCAGTGCTCCAATATCAAGAGGGTTGTGCATGAGTATCTATGACATTAACACCCTAGATCACCCTAGGTAGGGCACTTTGGGGCTGTTCAGGTTGGGACAGGTTGGAAACACGCTCACTTGTCAAAGTGTCCAAGGCATAAGGCCCTTCGACCCCGTCAAGTCAGCATCGCTCGCGCGCCAGCCGCCAAAGCGAAACCAGCGGCAGCAGTTTCCCTTGAGACTAGAAAGCAGAAGGAAGCCTGAGACTGCACTTGCTCGGCCTGTGAGCTGGCAACGAACACGAGAGGGCCCCTTCTCTTGAGGCATTTGCCTAAGATTGGGTGTGCACCAACCTTTTAGTGCTGTCTTTGGAGGCAACCTGCTCTTTGCGAACTATCCAGCATTTGTTCAGGCTGCAAAAGACGGCGATGCTGAAGCCAGAGCGCCACCGGAAGCAGCGTCTGAGAACGTGCAAGAGTCTCAATGGCACCATTCTGCACGTCATGATTGTCAGGGGAAACTGTGTGGTGGATAGCCGAACTGTTAGCATTGGTAGGAGCTGAATTAGTTGAACATCTTCCAGGGAGCACAGGCATTACCTACAGTCTACTGTAGTCGTGAGGCAGAGTGTTCCGAAGCACTGAAGTTGACAATGATGACACCTTACCGTTGTGCAATGATCTCAGACTGACTGCCAAAAGCTGACATCAATGCACATCGCAGCCAAAGCCCAGCAAAAGTGCCAGGTAGCTAACGTGCCTACATTACCGCCTGACTAGGTCACTATTTCCTCACGGGGCTGAGTCTGCCTGCATCGGGACATGTCAAGATGATGTCCAGGCCAGCAAAGCAGAAGAAGGGGAACGACCCTCTCGCCAGCGCGCTGCCAGAGTGCATAGAGATGTTTGGCTGTGTCGCTAGTTAGTATAAAGCCATTTAGGTAGAGAAGGATGCCGTGTAGCCGATGCTCTTTGAAAATTTGGATCTTGCTGCAAGGTCCCCTGAACGGGGAATTCTGTGGTTTGGAAGCTTCTGCTCTTGGTGCCATGCCATGCAGGAGGGCCTTGACAAGTGTGAAACAGTTACGCTTCCGTTCAGTGTGTTGCAGCACTTGGTCAAGTCAAGCCAAGGCTGGACGCTGCATTTGCGGAGGTTGGAGGATAAGCTTGAGCACGGGAGGTCTTTCTTAGAGCCCTAAGGGCCAGTCATGTTCTGTCAGCAATCTTCTCCCTTGCTTGACTAGATGGCGTCCACATACATTTCAAGCAACTTTACCAGAAAGTCAGCGAGCCCAACAACGACAAAGCCAGCAGCTTGCATCCATGTACAGAGCAAACGTCTCAGCTTGCGCAAAATGATTGAGCTGGTGGTGCTCTGGCTCGACGATCTGAATGGCTTTTGATGAAATTTCTGTGGAGATGTCTTCAGACGATACTTCATATGCCTGAGCAGCGAAATCCATTGAATTTGCATGCAAAGATAACTTTGTAATGTACCACTTTGCCCGTGGCCCGGTCCCAATTCCTTTCCACATCTAATTGTGTTGTCATGCTCTCTTGCGAGAGTATGTGAAGGAATTTCCGAATTGGGAAACAGCTTGGATCAACAAGAAGGCGCTGCGCAACGCCCCTTCATAGACAAGTCATGCATCGCTGCATCCACGATAATTTGTGTTCTTGTATCTTCAGTGCATGAACCTTGAAATTTGTGGGGTCTTGCCCGGTCAGCATCAGCCAATGAGAGACACATGAGCAACAAAGTTCCATGTTCAATGTGAGCAGCGCACTTTACCAGTCCAAGCCCACATACACAAAGTATGGCTCTGGCAAAAGAACGGAAAGCGATGGCAGAAAGAGCTACAAATGTGTTGGCTTTCTCATTCCTATGCCTCGTTTTTTTCGTGTCCCTGCGACAAGGATGTCATGCTGTTGAAGGTTTGCTAGGATTTTCTGGGAGGACCCTACTTTTAAGTCAAGATCAACATGCCACTACTTGCTCAACCACTGAACCGCACAAGTGTCCGACTAGTGACCGACTGAAGCCATGCGACGGCCGCATCATGGCGAAGGCTGCCCCAAAGTTGATGTCTTCACAA